GTACCCACTCTTTTCTCCCCCCCCCCCCGCCCCACCTCCCGCCCACTTTTTGAAAGTGGCCCTGGGGGGGGGGAGGGCACGCGGAAGGCGACAATGCCCGCAAAATGCAAGCAGTGTAAAATCACCCTTACTAACTTTTACAGAAATTTACTTGTGGCATCGAGTCATGTATCTGCCCCCACCCTCACCCCCCTACCTTGGCGCCGTGTCACTTTGGCACCGAAGAGTTGTCAAAGGCACAAAATTTAGGTATTATAGCCTTCCGCACCACACTCCTAATTGTAAAAAACGCATCCATTTTGTTCGTATTAGAAAAAAATTCTTCTGATTTCAAGTTGAGAAAGCCACGACCATGCTTTCTCAACTTGAAATTTCTCGAGGTCACAGACATCCAAAAAATATTGCGAAGCTCCCAAAATAGTCTCGGAGGGAATGGAATGCTCACTTTACTCTATGTTGAGATGTCTTGGTTCCACGATCGGCATTTCTCCCCCCCCCTCCCCTCCCCCCCCCCCCCCCATCCAAATCTCTCCTGCCTCCAACCTTCCTGTTTTCCTCGCTCTGTCTGTTACCTGCCCCCATACCTTCGATACATAGAGCCACGTACTCTGGTGACCTTCACTTTGAGCGTCATGATAGACACAACCTTCACCTAAAGGGAAGTCATCCGGGGCGAAGTCCCGGATATCATGGCATAATTAATGACATATCCATATAGGGAGAGATGTGAATGAGGTAAATATAGTAGTGACATCCAAAAGAAGCTCAAAAAACCGAAGGATTACGTTTTTATGGTCCTTTTTTGCCAAAAAGACTTTTATTCAAAAATTCAATGAGGAACTGGAGCAAAATTTCTCAACTAATCTTTCTCTAGACTTCGATTGAGCGTTGGAAGTTCATGAAAGCCGCTGGAGTTCAATAGAAACGAGAAACTGCGCTCAAATCTTGTGCAGAGAGTCGCTACTTAAATGCTGGTCTATCTCGTTATGGAGTGAATTTCAAGACCCGCGACGTTGTCAGTGCTCCTGGACGTCTCATGAGGATCACAACGATATATAATGTTACAGGGTTTCGTTATGATCCCGCGGAGATCAATGACCAGAGCCAAATGCCCCGCCGGCTCTGGTCTGTCTCCGCTGCTCGTCTGCGTCTCCGCGACTTGCGCGCTACCTCGCTACCCCAAAAGCGGGGCGCGGGGCATTTGGCTCTGGTACCCTTTTCTTCGTTTTTGGGAGCCCAATTTCGACAATCTATATATCATATTAAAGCTCTTGATCTCTATTTTCACGCTGACAAAGTCGCAAGACTCCTTTTTATGATTTAAACGAGAAATATAGGAAAAACGGAGTTTTCGAAAACATCTTGTTTTTTCTTCAGTTCAACTCTTTTCACTCGGTTTTTTGTGTATTCGATAGGTCTTGTTTCTGTCTATGATGTAGACAACGTCGCCGAGCTTACTTCTTTGCTTATGCCGGTTTTTTTGTGAAAATTACCAAAAAGTGCGTTTTTCTTTACCTTGTTCTTTTTCAATGCTTTTGCAACGAATTTTCTCCAGCTTGGACGTTACTTGCTCAGAATGATGAGCGGAAGAATCCAGACAACGTCGCAGGATACGAAACGACCATGCGGGGTGAAAATTTTAAGGACGCGTCAAAAATCAGATTGGCGTCGATGTGCAGCATAACTTTTCAGACATGTTTAACATGTTCAGTTTAGTTGTTGACAAGTTTGCCTTCTTTCGGTCTCCCAACTACAGCCACAGCTAACGCTTTTTTTTTCAATTAGAAAAGAACTTTGTTCCTGTTGCCACCCAATTTAACCGGCAATTCTGAAGACAAAAATGTGCGTAGGAAACTACCAAGATAAGGTTTTAAATTAGGTGATGTGTTAGCCTCTGTTTTATATGAATTTTTCAAGTTTCCTGGTTCAATTCAGATCTCTAAATTTCCATCTATTTTTTTCTAAAACAACCTTCACTTTTTATAGGGGGCAAGAACTCAAACAACTATCACTTTCTAGGCTCTGTCTCTTGACTATCGAAGGTATGCCTGCCCCAGAGTTCTGCAAGTTGTGAACAAGTTAGTAAAGTGACTGATCGTTGCAGTTTGTTTATCCATTTTTGTGTATTTAATGTTCTCAGGAAAATTGTATAATGATCGAGATTTTCCCCAAAATAGCAGCACAATAACACAGAAATGTCGTCAGTGCTGTTTTTCCATTGTCTCAACAAGGCCAATATTGACTTCCCACGCACCTGCACAAATGGGGCGAACATAATATCTGCATTTTGCTGTTTGGAATTATTGCGAAATTCCAAACACGACAAATGTTCCATCGATTTCGAATCCATACAGTTCTGGATGGATGTGTTATTGCCCGTTGGGCTGTTCATTATGAATACAGCGAACGGGGCACAAAATTCCCCCCGTGCCCGTGGCGTTTCGACGCTGGCATACTGCACAGCATTCGTTGCTCTTCTGCCTTTTGTATCATTGATCAATTTATGTTGATTAGAAGCCATTATGCTTGTTTGTTGTTTCTGATTAGGGAAGAAGGGAGGGCGGGAGGGGGGGGGGGGGAGTGCAGTGAAGAAAGTGGGCTAGCGAGGCTTTAGTGGAAGAGCCCCTAGTTTTTGATTAATTCATAATAACGTGACGAGTTCTGCGGGCACGGAAGTATAGTGTTTTATAAGGAGAATAAAAAGTCATCCCGAACTCTTTTTGTTCCTCTGATTGGAGGAACCTGACTCCAGCGTAACCCCCGCCCCTTTCTACCCCAGGGACTCCTTAGTTAGGGAGAGAGCTCAGAATATCACTAAACAGTCTTTGCAGAATGAACGTAAGTATCCTCCCAAGCTTTTTAAAGCAAGACAATGGATATATTTTGATTCAACTCTTTTTTTTTCTCTCTCTCTCTTTCTTCCTCCCTCTTCTCCCTCTCTTCTCTCCCACCTCTTCTATCTATCCTTCTTCGAAGTCTCTAGTTTCATTAACAAAAGTCGAAGAAGCTCCCAAGGAACAGGTTTATAAAATTTTTCAAAGCTGTTCCTTCTTTGTACTATTGTACCTTAGCTGCTTGTGAACTTAGACTAATTCTTTGATGTCGCTGTATAAAAATCATATCTCTGCCGAATTTTGTCTATCATATTTTCATAAACTGCTTTTTTGACGCTAAACTGTTCGGGACGAGATCAACTTTTCAGAGATGTGGGATCAACAAAGTTTTGTTGTATCGTCGAATTTCTGGCACATTCATGTTTAGGCTCTTTGCCTTTTTGGCCTCTTATTCTTTCGCGAAATGCATTGCCGCAACTTATGATATTTCAAAAAAACCAGAATCTAGAATGTAAAATAAATCACTTCGGGTAGGAAATATTGGGTAGGATGGAATAAATGATTTTTGTGTTCTTTACGTTTGTGGCGATCATGAACAAACTGTTGTGGTAAATTCGACTCAACTAGAAAATTGCACTACGAGAACTTTGAGAAGCTGTTTTGTACTCTTGCAGAAATTTCACACATATGAGATTATAGTCGTAATCCGCTTTTTTGGTCGTAAACACAGATAATACTGTACATTTTGCTCAACTTCATTCCAACTCTATTTGCACATGTTAATCTCTATCCTAAACACACGCCTATCGAGCCGAACAGTCAGAACTTTTGGCCTTGGAAGGTACTTCAAGGTCATTCGGCAATGATAACGCTTCAAACACTTCAAACAAGTATTTTTCAGTGGCAGGACCATGACTTTCACTGTTTTAAGACCGGTCCTCTAGTTTTACCCTATATCTTTTTTACAATGAATGCTCTCATCTCTATATTCAAATCACTGGACGATGATTATTTTTTGAAAGAAATAAGATTTTTGCTCGGTGGTAGCAATTTATTACAAAAAAGGTTACGGTGGAAGGGTAGATTACATAGCTTCTAAGGGTCGAAAATTCGATAGATTAGTCCAACTTCATTGCACAAAAAAGCCTTGATTATTTCCAATTTCTTTTTCTATGGGAGTGCACCCATTATCCATGATTGCTTTCGAAACAATAATTTTCCAAAAGGGCATGGAAAAGGACATTATAAAAAAGAATGTAGCTATGAAAAACTGCAAAATTTGCACACCTTCGCCTCTGTAAAAAAATACTCTTACCACCTTGAAGGCTGGGATACGGTCCCCTCTTCCCCCCCCCCCCTCCTAGTTTCTGCTCACATCCTACAAACTTATACACAAATCTCAATGGAATCAGTCTCATCTCCCTCCTTCTTCAACTTCAGATCTTTACAACAAGATTATGCATATTTTGTAAGATATCTACTTATTTATTTGATCATTTATTCAATTGCAGACAACTTGCAGATATACAACCAACCGCAACGGCGTTTTTGAATTTGTTTTTTTTTTTCACACTGTGGCTATACAACGTCTGATTTTCTTATTCGAGAAAATTGTGGCAGTATAACATCAGCATTTTTTCTGTTTTTTAAGATGTGAACCTTTCGTAACAGAAATTTGAAGCTGTGATATTGTTGCAGAATTTACTGGGAGAATCTGAATTATTTTCTATTTTTTGCTGTCAATAGGGCGAGTGCTTCAATTTTTCCATTACATCCACGCCCATTTTTGCCTTGAGTCGTCCCCTTTACCAAATTCTCTTTACGAGAGCCTACTTCCTTTTTAAAAGTTGTCATTAATTTCTCACAATGCACTATTAGGCAATGAATTCTGTAGAAACCCGATAAATGTACTTTCTTATAATCTCCTCTGCAAAAATAATTGCTCTTGTGTAAATATAATAATTGCAGAATCTGTCCTTTCTCACACATTCTTCAAGCGTAAGATAATAACCTACCGGTTTTATGCGTGTAATATCGAGTGACAGAACTTGCTTTATTCTGATTTTTATCGTAGCCGTGTTACTTGCTTCAAGCACACATCGTGCATTAAAAATTCTAGTTTGAACAGTAATGCAAATTTATTGATTGATTTTGTTTGATTTCCAGCTCGGACCCTATTCTGGCCAAGAACTAATTAGCTCATCCGATTCCGACACTACTTACAACAGTCTTTCACAGGTCAGTTATTTTTTTCACTACTGTCTAGCTACGGTATTAGTACAGTAACCATATATTTTTGACCGTACATTTTGTAATTCTAGGATAGCAGCGATTCACCTTCAATCAATAAAGAAATCAAAATGCCGCTTCATATGGAAGCACTCACACTTCCACGAAGTTTAGGTAAGTCTGAAAAAGCTCAAGTAAAGGTAGCCAAAGAAATTTTCTTCACAGTTTTCTGTCTTTCCACGACTCCTTTCCCCTTCCGGCCTGTATATTTTCTATAAAATATTTGTAAATTTTGACCCTGGCAAAACACTTTAATCGCCCCAGTCACTGTAATCAATGCTCCTGTTGAAGGTTAGAAAAATTTTTAGGCGGATCCCATCATCATCCTAGGATCGACAGCCACTTTTTCAATCCTGACTACTGTGCAACTGTAGGACGAGTACGCCCACTCCACGATCCGATGAACGATAAGTGAGTTCTTAGACTTTTTGCGCGTATCAGGGCTCCTTTTAGAGTTATATGGTGAGAGTGAAGTAAAGGTAGGAGGCTGAAAGTAAGCTTTTACGGGAGTTTCAAAGTTTCTCATAATCTTGGTACTCAGAGGCTACGCAATGGAAAGCTGCTTTGGGACAACCATCATAAAACGCAAACTTTCTGTTTTTCAAAAAAAACCCCCCCCTGAATCCGAATTTGCTTGAAAGGTTCATGAATTATTTTGTTTTATATTTACGCAAGAGTTTTTGCGGAACCTATTCTTTTCAATTATTTAGATTAGCGAAACTTTTATTCATTTTCATCTGCAGTGTATAGCTACCAAAGAATGAAAAATTTGTGATTCACGACATTTGCAGAGCTTTATTTCCGTTCTTAAGAATATCATGTTTCAATTCTCTCCTCATTTGACAACAATAGAAAAATTTTCCTGTTGCACGCAGCTCTGATAAAGTGATTATGTGGTTTGCAGGTTGCTATTCCACACACGAAGTCTGACAGTCAATTGCACATTTTGCGAAGAAAGCGAGAAATTGTCGGGTCATTCTGGACTCTAAAGTTTTCTGTTTCCTTATTGAGCAGTGGCTAGTCCATTCATAGTCAAATGGAGGACAGAGTGCACAGTCTGTTTGGAATGAAGCAAAAGAATATGGTTGTTCAAAAGTAAACTTCATTTACCAATGAAATGAGCTTTTCGTTTTTTTACGGACTTAGGGTACCATCCCGTGAGGAGCAGGCTCTACAAAAGGGCCACCAAAGATTCACCTAAGTCGTAATCCAGGTAAAATCTGAAGCCAAAAATCAAAATTTTTTAACTACCCTCGGTCTTCCAATTTGATCTTTATTTAGTAGACACATAGTAGTACCCAAAAATGTATTTGACGGATTTTTCTGGGGCTAAAAATTGAGAAACAAGGTCCGAAAATGTCAAAATGCCAATTTTATTTGTTTTTTTTTTCATGTAAAACTTAGTATTTCTCGAATAAACACCTACAGGGGTATGGTTTTAATATTTTACTTAGTAAGGCTTGTAGTATACAATGACATACGTGGGAGGGGTTGGGGGCGGAGTTTGCCATGAGCTATTTTTTCTGCTTTCTATGCGCAGAAAAAATCCAGTAAAGGCATAATTGTGTACTACTATGTTACTGTATAATGACTTAGCTGGAGCTCCGTAGGATTTTCTCTGGCAAGAATACAATTTTCATGTGACAAAACTGTTTTCGGTTTTGGATTCAGACTTTACATGGAATGCTTCTAGGCGGATCTTTGGCGGTCATTTTGAAGAGCTTGATCTGCTTTATCGAATAATACCCTATGCCTACCGAGAAATAATAACAGCTTGAATTTATTGAAAATGGACTTCACTTCTAAGACAACCTAATAGAATCAGAAAAGGACGCTGTAGCTGCGTCTAAATATAAAGGCACTGCTATCCACGTGTCTTACGAAGTGTTCTTGAACTTTTTTGTCTTCCTTTCAATAAATTTGATTGGGATCTTCCTGAAATCTTCCATAATCTGTAAAAATAAGGCTTTTGTACGAACTAGTAGCATAGTACGAAAACTAGAGACGCTGAATGGGTGCTGATGTTGTGCTCGTAAAAACATTCACAATAGCTGGTTCTAGTCAAATATCGTCATAGGCCCTTTTGCAGATTATTCGGAAGCTTGAAGAGGAATTGCAGTGGTTAAATTTTTCTTCTAGAGGAAATAATCAACAAAAATGTTTGTCAGCCACGAACCACGAACGTCTTACGGGAATTGCTATCTCTATCTAATGCTTCACTATCGCATCATTGAACATCTGCATCTGTACAGTTTTGAATTTTATTTCGCATCTAAAAACAGTATTTGCGCCAGGATAATGTCAGTAGTATGCTTTCCTAATTTTTTGAAATATTAGGTTGTCCCGAAAGTTCGTTCGCACCATTTTCAAAAAATCATAACTTCTTTGCATCATAACGATTTTGCACAATTTGAATTTTATCAGAAAGCGAAAAGCATATAGTTTCCAATAGTACCCTGGTTACTTTACAAATGTTCAGATTGCAGAGATAAAAATGAAAGAACGAAAACATCCGAAACTCGGAATTTTTGAGCAAAAATTCCAAAAAACTAGAAACCGCGCGATAAAATCCAGAAAAGTCATTATCATAATTTTTCTAATATTTGATTACTAAACGAGTTAAGTTTGTGCTGATCGAGCTCTTCTTTCAAAAGTTATGATTTTTTGAAAAAATGCCGAAAATTCGATTTCTTAGGAATTCTTAAGAAATTGATTTTTCGGCATTTTTTTTCAAAAAATCATAACTTTTGAAAGAAGAGCTCGATCAGCACAAACTTGACTCAGTTAGTAATCAAATATTAGGAAAATTATTATAATGGCTTTTCTGGATTTTATCGCGCGGTTTCTAGATTTTTAGAATTTTTGCTCAAAAATTCCGAGTTTCGGATGTTCTCGTTCTTTCATTCTTATCTCTGCAATCTGAACATGTTGGAAAGTAGCCAGGGTACTGTTGGAAACTACAAGCTTTGCGCTTTCTAAATAAATTTTAGCTGCCCAAATTGGCTACGACGCAAAGAAGTTATGAATTTTTGAAAATGGTGCGAACGAACTTTCGGGACAACCTAATATAATAGTTACCACGTATTTCTTCTCGATATTCAAACATACTATAAACATAAGCCTCCGAGCAGTGGCGATTCCATAGAAAAATTATAAAAGTTCAAAATAACCTTTTGACAGGTCGTGAGGCACAAATCTACCGTATGCTACCGAACTCCTGCGCAGGCCTCTACAGAGAAAAATTCAGCGCAAACAGAGTCATGAAGGGTTTTCACGTTAAAATTCAACTATGTAAATGAATGCTTTACCGTGCTAGCCGTCTAGCAAGCACTTTAGCCCAACTTCCTGCCTTGACGGGGTTGCGACGGCATACTGTAGCTGTGCAAAAGTGCCGCATCTCAAGAGTTCATAAAGCTATCGGCATTAATGATTCGAAGTACTTTATCATCGGAATCTTGTGTACTAGAGCCACCCTAAGTGCGTTCGACACCGCTTTATACTGTATCCTCCCCCCCCCCCCCCCAAGCAATTTCGGCGTTCGTTAGAGGTAATGTGCAGTACCTTCTGCTTATTATGAGGCTCAATTTTCGCATGGATGTAATTTCATAGCATGTTCTTTAAAGTAAAGGGTGAGAAAGACAGCCCCCAGAGCAATATGAATTTACGGTGTTTTTCATGGTTGCAGACTTTCCATATCGTGTATAGTTTTTCATTGCTGGTAGTTCAAACCCATGTACCGGTGCTTAGCTGTCAAAAGCAAACACTTACAACCTTGAAAAGGAATTTTCAAACAAACGCGAACGTTCGCCATTCAATACGATTATCGAAAAAATTCCGAAATGTCTTGCTTGGTGATTTGTTACGGCATTGATATTTTTGCTGTGCAAAGAAAACCAGAAACGACCTCCAGTCTCACCTTTCCTTCCGCTGTGCGAAACGAAACGCCTTGCGTTGATTTATATTTCTTCTGTCATTGCCAAGACGGGGAAAATTTGGCAACAAAGGAATTTCATTGTTTCACATAGCTAATTGCCAATTCATTATTCCACGGTTGTTCTCGTGGATTGCAGCGCCGCTTTTCGTAAAAAAAATGTATTTGTATCGTACAGTTTGTACAATATTCCATACATTGTCTAGCTTCTTTACATCGGTTGTTTCTTTCCAGAATTCTCAATCTTCACGTGCCTCCTAGACCTCCCCACCCTCTCTGATGAGAGAAAAAAAAAGAACTATGCAGCTCTGAATATTTGGATGCTCAAATAATTTCTTTGGTCTTCCTCAACCTTGCGAAAAAGTCAAATTCAGTGCTCGGCTTCATTGAAACTTTAGTCCTAAACTTCTTTTACTTGGATGAGTTATGAAGAACTTTACCGACAATTTTTTGGACATGGAAGGCCCGTCCCAAGCTCTGTTTTGATCCCGATTGCTCTTCAAAAGATATTCTCCTAGTAAGGTCGAAAAATTTCATGTATATATCGTGCAAATTGGATCGTTGCGCTTTCTGCTTCTTTTGGACGTTATTTGAAAAAAAATCGGAATACAGAATTTTGTGCGGATTTTCGAGGTTAGATTTTCGTCGATATGGCAGTTTCTAATTTGCTAGAAAGTTTCCAAAGATGCATCAACAAATATCAAAAGCCTCCAATTCTGATGCCATCATGTAAATTAGCACTAAAATCAATATCACCTGGGCCTGAAATAGTTATGATGCCGTTACACGTAGACATAACAATACATCCTTTAGAACATCATTTTCTCGTCATGCTTCTCGAGCAGCCTTGCAAACTTGATTTTTATCCAGTGTGATTGTATGTATCACTGATATGAGGCGACTTTTCCCATTTTTCAGTTGATTTTGGACGATTTTTTTCAGAATCAGGTGAAGGGGTTGCAACCGCGTTTTGCGATAGTTTCTCTAAGGCCAGCTGGTGATTTCGATGCTTGGAGTCAACGTCTAGACTTCAATTGTTCATTGACAACCACACCCCTTCCAGTGGGCGTAACCCCAATCCCGCCCCAGCGATCCCCGCTTGAAGCGTTTTGACTTCACGAGCAAAATTTTCCGTGTACTTGTGTTTCTTCTCGCTTCTAACGAACCTGGTGGTTTGAAAAATAAAGCTTCAGGAAGGGGCAGAGAATTTCGTGCTCATGACACCTATACTTGAAATAGGGTCGAAAAATTGTGGAAGTCAAGGGTCAATCTGGGCAGTGCTTGCACGCCCTGCTTGCGTACATCTTGGACATCAACTTAAACGTGTAAGCTATGGCCCACCATGAAAATGGTAGGCGTGGCTTGCGACTCATATGGGCGGGGCTAGCATTTTACGACACAATATTGAGACTACAAAATCGTAAAGTGCATCAATATCCGACGGAAAAGCCATTAACCCTCACAGTCAGCGTACTATGCCTCGCTTTTTGTGCTATGAATAGCCGATTCATTTCCTCTCGATTACAATGATTCAGTCACGGATGATTCACTTTTTTATCGTTGGGGCAGTGCATATCAAAGTAGACGCATTGTTTTGCATGTTATGATGAGTTTTTGTCCATTTAGACGATTCGCAACGATGGAACCAAGCGACGCAAGGCGATATTTGGCTACATCGATCTATATCGATGGTAACGACTATGGAACGATCAAATCATACTGTGGCACTCCGACACGATTACGATCACAGGTACCGTAATTATACCGTAATCCATACTTCCTGGCAATTTGCCAGATTATCTCTTCCTTTGAAAACAAGTATAGGCGAGTCATCGCACGCAGAGACGGGACGCCGCTGCGAACGCTGTCGGCGTCTCTCGAATCAAGCGCTCTCCCAACTCCCTAACCGTCTGCTATCTCTTGTGCGCCCACACTGTCTAAGTTGACAACTGCATTCAGTCTCTGCCTGCGTTGACTAGTTTTACTTCTTCCTAGTTTCTCGATTTGCTTCTTGGCAAGTTGCCAATACATTTCACCTTTATAAACAAGAACTTCTTTCCAATTTCTTATGTTGCTCGTCTTCTTTTTCTCCATTGTTCGTCTAATTGCACTGTTGAAGCGGTTGAGGTGCCGAATTTCGTCAAACACTGTCGTCACTCGCGTTGTTTGCTTAAAAAATGAAATTCGGTCCTTGTCGAGCCGCCGCTTGCGTTCTCCTTTCAAGCACTATTAGTGTGTACGCAATCGCACACGATGCGCATTGCGATTGCGCAATTCATGTCTTGTGAACAGCTTGTACAGGCTTTTTTCCTTTTTGATTGTCCAATTCCGTTCTTTCCACTTCCACGAGCTCGTCCAAGGAATGCGAAAGAAGAGAGAATCTCCGAAATGCCACTGGGTTCCTTGGAAATAAGATTAATTGAATTTCATCCTTTCTGCAGTGACGTAATCTTGCACAACTTCCAAAATTGAGATGAGTCGCATAGCTTTTCCAACAAATATGGATGCTCGCATGGACGCCCAAAATGTTTTCCGCACTCTGAAAGCTATTCCTTGTACAGAAGTCCTAAAGAAGGTTATGGTAAAGCTCCGGAAATGGCCATAGGCCAATGGTGGCCCTAAAGTTTGAGTGGTAAAAACGTGCAACGAAACTGACGGCATCTACGCTCCTGAAAAAAATTTATACATGCCTTTTGATTTCCACCATTTTATAAAATCGGTAATTAATGAAAAATAAAATGGAAACAACTCACTTGCGTAGTTTTATGACCGCTACAGCTTTCCTACGCCGAAGTTGTTCTCTATTTTTTTTTGTTGAATTACTAATTTGCAAAATGATGAAATGAATTTTGATGGATGAAAACCTTTTCTAGATCACTTTTGAAGAGGGCATATGACAGTTTTTTTTCAAGTTTCTTAGCAGCTGATGAGAGCAGAAGGACCGTGGTGTGTTTTGCAACTTAGCTCCCTGAGAGTTCTTAGTGTTGAAAAAAAAATCGGAAGGCTGTTTTTTTGCATTTGAATTATTCCTTCTCTCATTTCTCGTCGGCCCCAAACTCTCTATTACAACCTTTGAAGTCCTAAAACCACACGATTTTGCCACAGCCTTATCTTTTTCGATCTCTGCAGGTGGTGTTACATTTCCTTTTTCTATCTTAGCTATCAATCATTCGTTCATTGTGTAGTCACCCATCCTAAAGAGACAGATATACCCCCATTCATTGAAGAAGTTTGTCACTTCTTCCACTTCATTAATGGAATGGTTTTCGCGAACTCTTGATTTTTGATAACGAATGGTTTTCCATCCTAGGCACTCATTGTTTTGAAATTACAGGAAAAAAGCATATGGACCTGAATTTCTTGATTGTTTTTCGCTTTTCACTCAAAGTCATCAAAATCACTTCATCACCTAGTATCACTGTTTATTGAAAGTCCATCGCAGCACTAATAAAATAAAAAAGAATAAAGCGAAGGCACCTAAACTACTTTTTCGAGATAATTTCCATAAAAGACGGAAGTGCAGCAATATGTTTCACGGCTAATAGATCATTGATTTTTTTTTCAAAAGGTGATTGTGTCTTTATTTGTATTCTCGTAATGAAGCTTGGAGATGGAGTTATTTTTTCTTCCCTCCCCCCTCCCCCTTCTTTCCTACGCACAATATCGTGAAATCCAATTCGTTTCTTTTTCCAAATCAATCGCTATTTCGTCGTCACACTTAAGTACCAAGACCAGTTGTTAAGATGATGGCGTAGCTGATTTTTTTCGCCACATTCCTCTTCTAGAGGAGATTTTTTTGGCATCGAACCAGTTGCTTGTTTCTTTTTCTGCTTTTTTCAAGTAGCGCTTAGGGAGATCTAGGTGCTCTTATAGATCAGGTTTAGATTCCTCAATGCGAAATGTTTGGTTGAGATTTTGGACAGTGGAAAAATGAGAGGAATCTCGTTGTCATTCTAGCAAATGGATGTTCTAGATCTTGACAGAAATAGGAATTCGTAAAATATAAAAAAGTAAGGAATTACATAAAAGAATGGGATGTTTGAACTTTCAGTTACCAACGAATTGTCATATCTTTTTCAAAGAGATAATCTGGAATTGTGAGTAAAAAGGGGCGTGGTCGAGCAAAAGGGGGCGTGATTCGCCACTACAGATTTTCTCGTACTTAAAAAACTTGAACCTGGTAAAATTAGAGAAATTGTCATATGATATTAGGGGAGAATGTCATTTCAATCAATTAGTAAAAAAAATTTGATTCACATTTTTAAATTGCCGCCGTTTTTCTGCCTACTGCAAATCTGAAGTTGAAAAAAATCTGAGTTTCTGCGCCAATTTTTTTGCCGACTATAGTTTTCTTTTCTGGAACGTTCCATATCGTGGAGTGAAACATACGGCAATTTTTCGCAAAACGATAGAATACGAACATGATTCAATGCTCGACAGCAAACATTGGTCATCTCCTAGGCAAATATTTCTGAAGGAGTGTCGTGTACGAAGACGTCGAACATCATCCGCTTATCTGAATATAACGGTAGTTCTAAGCTTTGGAAGCTTCAGCTTGAACAGTCGCAATGCTATGGTTCTCTTCTCTCTTTAGTTTTAGAAAGTTTCACAAAATATAATTTACCGATTTTTACGAGAAAATTAGTTCAAGTTGACGGATGTTTCTTGAACTTTTCTTTTAGAAAAACGTTCTAACAAAACTCCAGTTTACTCCATGTATCTAGAAGGTACCAGAGTTTACCCACCAGCCTGACCTGACCGATGCCGCAAATGCACACATAATCAGCAACTTTACGACAGTCGTGCGAACTTACGCAATTCTCTCTTTTTTCATGAACTTTCCTTGCACTTCTGCTTGCATTCTCTTTTCTGTAACTTTTTGAGAGGGTTTTTGGCCCTCCTCTAGGCATTAGTCCATATTCCTAGCTATTCAAAAACGACAAAAAATCGAAAAAAATCAGAAATTGTCGGAATTTCTTTCTGCTTCGCGTGTTGGCAAATAAGGCTTAGAAAGGGTTCTGGAATCTTATAAAAGGTTTGGCGGTTAAAATGCCACATTCATCAACTCGATGTCATTTTTGAACCATCAGTTTTACTGATATAGCTTAAGCTCTGAGTATTCTTTTTTAATATTCCAAAAGCTGTAAAAATTCACTCCATTCTCCTTATTGCCCCCCCCCCCCCCCTTCCCGCCCTTCCGCTCCTCTCTCAGTTCACTTGCCATGGAACTCTAATTGATTGTGAAACTGCTTAACTATGCAGCCAAAGCTTCTCTCTCTATAATTGGAACAAGGCATAGAATTTCTCACGGTATCCGGTTTCTTTCAAGAGAAAAAAAAACATTGTGCGCTATGAGTGAAGCATATTTTCCTTGGAAAATTTCTCCTCACAAAGTTCCGGGGGAATTTTGCGAATTTACGCGACTTTGTTGCGGTTTTTTTCATTGACTACGAATCCCCTCAGTCAAAACTCCTCAATCGTCACCTCTCAATCCGTCTTTATGACGCTCGTAAATAAATTGCAAAATTTTCGAACGAGTTTGCCCTACCGCATCTTTAAGGGCATCTCCCCGCAAAGTTTTGCGGTAGTTTTGCGCAACCTCTGCAAATCAGTTGCTCTCTTCCTCGTTGAATTTGAATTTCTGCAATGAAGCTCTGTAAGTTTGCTATCTCCCCCCACCCCCTCTACCTCCAAAAATAATTAGCACGTTTTCGGACGAGTTTGTGTTGCGCGCATCTTTATGGACACGTGCTTTAGCAAAGCGCCAATGACGATGTGTTATGTTGTTTGAACTGCGGGGGGCTACAAACTGGTTTTGGGCACTAGTCCCGCTTATTTACAGTTTGGCAAGGTGTCTTGCTATGGAGCGCATTTGGCGACTATCTGCTACCGTTTCTAGAACTTACCATAGAATTTAAAAAAAAATTATTCTCAAAAAAAATCATCGAAAATATCATATGACTGGCGCAATTTCCCAGAAAATGCGCCTGTCTTATGAGAACAGCTGATTCATGCGCTTTGCTTCGTTTTAGAGCACATTTGCGACTTTAGAGCTAAAGTTTGAGGGTATATGGTTAAGAAATTGTTTTATCTCTACTCTGACCGCACATACAACCCACCTTTAGCCTTGATTTGATTAATTCGCCTGTTTACCGCTCATCCTACCTGCTAATACTGACCCAGTAAAGTCAACAATAAAGAACGCTGACATAGATCTTCTTCAAATTATTATCTCCAAGTTTAGAAGTTTTGAATTGGATGACTGTTGGTCTCAGTTTTATTTCCATTCTACTGCTGCTGTAAAATACAGTTTGATTACAATGCAGAAGTGTTTTTATTTCAATTTTAAGCAATTCTTGTTCAGTTTTCATACAGTAATGGGAGAAAACTTTGTTTCTATCTCATCTCTTCTGCCTTTTTGTTTTCAGTACTTTTATCAAACCATCTTCTGTATGAATAACAAGATTTCTAAAATTACTGCATCAATTTCGTGGAACTTTTTATCATTTTTATCAGTAGCCGTCATCTCCACTCCCCAACCCCATCACCGCGCGAAATTTTTTTAAGTGGTCCACTTGGCTTAAATTATGCAAACGACTTGCTTTTTATTTGGGAAAAAGTAGATGAGCGAAAATTTTGCAAAATAGTCATTATTGTAAACTGCGCTTGTCCTCGAAAATACCTTGGACCACCGCTCCTCGTTCCTTTCCTCCTCCCCCCCCCCCCTCCTCCACCTATCTCCCTTTCTGT